TAGTTCCGCTCATGTTCGTTGAGTGACTTAGAGTAGTATGCGACTGGATGCCATAGCTTGTCCTCCCCTAGTTGTTCGAGTACTGCACCAGTTGCATAGTCTGAAGAATCTGTCTCTAGACGGTATGGTGCAGTGTTATTGGGGAGTTGTAGGATCGGGGCTGAAGTGAACGCCATTTTAAGTGCACTGAAGGCTTGGTCTTGCTCTTCCTTCCATTGCTAGGGTACGTCCTTACAGGTGAGAAGCGTTAAAGGTCGTGCGAGTTTCGCAAAGTCCTTTATAAATCGCCTGTAGAAATTCGCGAATCCTAAAAAGGCCTGTACTTGTTTGACCTTTGTTGGTGTGGGCCAGCCAAGTACATCTTCGACTTTAGCAGGGTCCATCTGTACTGAGTTCTTGCTGATGATCATGCCAAGATACTCGATTGAGGACTGTTCAAAGAAGCATTTCTCCGGTTTGGCATATAAGTCATTGTCTCGGAGGCGCTGTAGAACTGCTTTCACTAGTCGTCGGTGTTCATCGAGATCGTCCGTAAATATGAGGATGTCGTCTAGGTAGACTACCACCTTTCCAGTGCGAATTAGGTCTTCGAGGACTGTATTCATCATTGTTTGGAAGGTGCTAGGAGCATTGCAGAAACCGAAGTACATTACAGTGGGTTCGAAGAGGCCACGATGTGTAATGAAGGCGGCTTTCTCTTCATCTCCTTCCCTAATCCTTATGTTGTTGAACCCCCATCTCAGATCAAGCTTCGTAAATATGCTAGCATGTGAGAGTCTGTCGATGAGGTCCGAAATGTGTGGGATTGGGAACTTGTTCTTCTTTGTGACTGCATTGTGGTTCCTGTAGTCTTGTACGAGCCTCAGTGATCCGTCTTTCTTTTTGATGAAGAAAACGGATGCTGCGGTTGGACTCCTTGATCTCTTGATGTAGCCCTTGGCTAACTCTTGGTCTGTCCACGTGTCGAGCGAATTTCTTTCCTGTAGGTTCATAGGATATAACTTTGCCGGGCGTGGTAACGATGCCTCTGGAACAAGTTCGATTGAATGATCGTAGGGCTTTCTTGTGGGCATTCGTTCCGACTGCTTCTTGGAGAACACATCGCCATACTCGTGGAAGTGTTTGGGGACATAGGCTGACCAGTAGTCTTTGTCCTGTTCTCCTTTTTGCGGCGCTCTATCCTGATTCCTCTTGGTGTCAAGACCCATAATGAG